GGGTATATATATATATATATATATATATATATATATATATATATATAAAATCTGTATTCTTCTCAGGTTGGTCAACAACAACCGCCTATCAAACATTTTACATTGAAACGTAAACCAAAAAGTGCTGCATTACGTGCAGAACTATTACAAAAATCAGCAGATGCCGCAAGTTCTGTTAAAAAAGTTTCTGCTCCCACAGTACCTGTTAGAAGTCGAGGAATGCCCAGGAAAATGACTGATACAAGTAAAATTATAGCACTATACTTTATGGCATATATTTTTTATAATTATTATTAGTACATGTTAATAATTTATAAACTACTTATTAACTTCCCGTAGGGTAAGTTATAGTAATTGCAAAAAAATCGAAAATGAAAATTTTTATATATCTTTACGTTTCAGAGGTTTCTGAATATTTTGGCTTACCTTAGGAAAAATGGATGTATGTGTGTGTGTGTGTGTGTGTGCGTAGTATGTATGTGTGTGCGGATACAAATTTTTGTCGACGATTTCAGGAACACGAATGAAGCAATTTGAATAATTTCAAAAACATTCGATCCGTATTAGTATTAGTAGGTCTAGCCGTTAAAGATATGGGGCAAAAAGTGCCAAAAACGGTACATCAGTTTTTAATAGAACTTTTACTTGTATTGACAAGATGAAGATTTGATCAAATTTTTATAAGGGCAGGTTTAGCGGTTTCGGAGATATAACGAAAAAAGTAAAAAAAATGCCATTTGGCGGTCAAAAATGATCATTAGACATATGCACATCAAATTATCAGATAATTTATAGAGATTTTAACAATAAGTAAAAATTTTTTTACATTGCTATGGGTTCCGTACCAATGTTTACCCGTTAGACAGCGACGCGGCGCTTACGCGCTTTATATTTTGTCTCTATGCATTTAAAGCAGTACGATTGCTTTGAAAAAAAGTTCAGATCTTCCAAAATATGTCAAAATATAGAAAACATTTTTTTTTTAAAAAAATTTTTAAAAAATAATTTTTTTTTTTTAATTTTTTTTTTTTCAAAAAAAAGTTATTTTTTGTCCAATTTATAGTTTCTCAAAAATCTTATTTTTTCGAAGTAAAATTTTTTCAAAAATGTATCGTTTTTAAAAGATAATAATTTTTGGTACGGGAAGTTCCAGCAATTTGCCTTAAGGCACGATGCCCTAATTGCCTTAAGACAGAATTCCACTTACAGCTAGTTTATTTTGTTGTTAAGATAAACTTATTATTTACCACAATGTTAGTTTAAAGACTTTGGTACGAGCGGCAAGTTTATTTGACGGCCCCGGATGGCCCTGCACAGCCGATCCTCACTTACCGCTTATGGACGTTTCGTAAACAGTAGACGCTGTACCGAAGCGGTTAATAGATAAAAAATCTATAAAAGAAATTTGTAATAAAGTTCTTTTCTTTTATAGCTCCATTAAAAGGAATTCCGAGCCGTGTGCCTACCGGTGGTTTCAGATCACCCCCAACCAACAGTCCGTCTGCTTCAAGACCCCCAATGGTAAACAAAACATTTATAAATTTGACAATAAGCTAAAATAAATTTGAAAATAATATTGAGAAAACGATCTCATTATTTATATTTAAAATTGTAGGTTAGAAATGCTGGAAGGAAGGATGGTGGTATCAAATTGTTAGATATTACAGAACAGCCTTTAGGTTACGCTGCTGCTAAGAAGAGGAAACGTATGCAAGGTAATTAGTCATTGATAGAAAAGTAAATAAGTAAGAATGAAAATTAATAGAAAATGCGACGGAAACTGAATTAAGATTTTTTTTAACAAAGCATGTAAAGGTCAATTTCAAGGTTGTGAATGTACTAGTTTTTAAAAAAAAAAATTGGTCACAGTGAACATTTGAAAAACAAAAATGATTAATTATTTAATTAAAATGATATAAACCATTGAATTGATTCATAAAAACTTAATTATAAATTTAATTAATTACTGGTAGCTGTTGTTATAAGTCAGCTTTCTTTTACAAAAAAATTGTGCAGTGTTTGCTGAACAGCTTTTCTTTCTTATAGCAATTGAAATTTATGGCTATAGTCTGAAACACCATCTTAAAAGTTCTTCGACTACTAGAATGCTTTTTTTTAAAAAAAAAAATTGTCAATGAAACAAATTGCTTTGAGTACTTGGATAATATTTATTGGCAAATTGCAATTCAAGTTACAATTATAGTTTTTCATTAGAGAATCTTAGTTGTGCGATACTTGCAATTTCTTTATGCCAATCTCTTTCAATCTTAACAAGTTTCAAACAAATTTAGAACGAAATCGCCATTTCGAAAGTCTAACAGCGCCCAATGTAATTCGGTACCAATTAAGCATCGACGCGAATCCGAAAAATGCTTTTCTTACTAATTTTTAATATTTTTAATAAATTGCAATATATTTTTAGAATTAGAAGAACAAAAGAAAGCATCAGAATTGGCAGCTGCTGCACAGGCTGCAGCGAGTGTTGCCGATAGTACCCCCGACTATGCAGCTGGCTTGACAAGTACTGTTGTTTTTACGCAACCAGCAACTACACCAGGAATGACAGTAAAAGAACGTGAGTAGTTGTACCAATATTTATGAAATTAGTAAAATAGTTATTCAAAACTTTGACATGAATGACAGAAATGGAATGATATATTTGGCAACTGGGAAGAAATGGCTCAAAAAATCTATGTACAATCATAGTCGGTATGTTTCACAAATACCTTGACAGCTGTGTTTCAGATATCTGATTTTTTTTAAAAGCGTATAAACTTTTATTATGAAATGATAGTTTTGGCTGATCTTATAAACTTTAATAATAGTTTATTTTTGTGCATACTGTAATATATTTATCAACTTCCCAGAGAAGCATGCTTTTGCCTGAAATTTTGATTTTCTAATTTGTGTTTCTCGGCGTTTCAAGTCATTTCTATGTATGCAAAATTACACTTTTCATCAATATTGCAAGTGCAGTGCAATTTATTCAAAGTGACTGCATCAAAGGGTTACTTCGAGTAGTTTTGCGCGATGATCGGCTGAATTTTTTCTTTTCAGTTAGCAGATTTTATCAACCTTTTTGCAAAAAATCCCAAACTTATTTCAAAAATTTCAAAACCGTATGAAAGATATCAGTTGGAAATTGTGCTGATTAGTTTTTGGTAATGATCGGATTTGTAAAAAACAATTACAAAGATATTTAAAAATTATTTAGTTAGGAAGACTTAAGGTTGAAATATATTTTCAAAAATAAAAGATAAATACTTTTGCATAACTAAAGCATATAAAACATTAATCAATAACTTGGGTCATTTGATTGCGTTTTTATTTAATTTATCTAAACGGAGAGCTTAATGTCAAGTCGTTGACTTTATATGACAAATCAATACTAGTACTACATATCAATATCGTGTTGAAACAAATCAGTCCACTATTATAAAGATTGCTATTGTGTTATTGTTGTGAAATTGTCATTACTTGCATAATTAAAAGTTACATGTGATTTACGGGCCTGGTTTTACACAATTGTTTCAAAGAAAATTTCATCTTGAGTGGCTTATTCTTTTATTTTTCGTTTTTTTTTTGATTATTTATTTATTTATTTAGCAATATATACATTTCCATATCTCAATCAGACAGGGGTGCCTGGTATAAGAGATTATGGATTGCTTTATACATTTATACATAGCCTATATATATAAATATTTATCTATTTCATATTACTTTATTTTAAAATTTAATTTCTGATAACATTTAAAATCTGTGCTACTACATATGATAAAATTAAATCTGAATCTATTGAAAAACTTATGACCTCTAAAACACATAATTTATTGTCAAAATTAAGTATCAATATTTCACAAACGACTTTGCAAACAATAATTTGATTGAATTGGGATTATGTGAGTAACTCTAATGATTCAATTGTATTCAAATTCTGGTGCCTTCATGGTTTAATTCTTTTTTAATTTTTGTATTTATGTTAATTACCGTTACACGCGTTTTATATTTTCTTCAAATCAAGCGCAAAGAATCTACACTTATAACAAATTATAAAATCTTTTGTGGTTATTTTTTGTTCTACAATTAAACATTTATATATTTTATATATATATATATATATATATATATATATAATTAATTTTTTTAATATGGTTACAGATATAAGTTTGTTTGAAAGATATCAATTGGCAATTGGATATAGCATTTAGTTTTTAGTGAAAGCGAAAATAATAGATTAGTCTTTTGTAAAAGCGAACACGTTATTTTCAAAACAAACGGTTAACAAATTTTATTGTCACGATTTTAAAAGTTGCTAAATTTTAATTCTTATTAAGTCGTACATTTAACAAATCGGTAAATTTTTATTCACTTTGCCAAAATGCCATTTACACAGAGTATTTTTTAGTCTGTTGCAGTAAACTATTGCAATAAATATTTTTATTAGTGAAGAAAATTTTGAGCACTAATAATATCAGGCCTTATATCTAAGTTTTTTATGTATAATGACATATAGAAAATTGTTATAAAATTTATTTCCAGCTACTACGCCTTCTTCATCAAGTTCGAACACGACATCTTCCACATCCGGCACATCATCTACAGGCAGCTCAACATCTACCACAACCGACACGTCCACACCTTCCAGTTACAATCCAAATGGAACGCCAAACAGAACGCCTTTCACTGGCGAAAGTCCTTTGGCTCATTCAAATATGGGACAGACCCAACAGACTATAATTCTCACACCCAGTTCCATTCGGCCACCGAATCTATCAGAGGATTCTGCCAGTCCGAGCACACCTGTAAATGAAATGCGTCATAAAGTAATTGTGGCATCACCGTTGGCAAAAGGCAAGACGCAGACCGTTATATTGGCTAATTCAGGAGTTTTGCAGAAGAATGTGCTGCTTGGGGTGCAGAAAGGCCATCAACTTGTTTCCAATTTACAAACAGGTGAGTTACTAAATAGATAACTTCTAGAAATGTTATTTATGGTTGTGGAACCAAAGTTCTAGGTTGCTCTTAAGGGGGTCTTCCTATGTGATGAGTTGAAAAAATTGAATTTTTTTTTATTTCATATTTCGGTAGATTATACCTTTAAAAATAACATATTAAAATTTCAAATCGATATCTCAAATAGTTTTTGAGTTACAGCCATTTAAAAAGTATACATATAGTATATAGTACAACGATCATTTTATCTTTAAACGCGTTTTTCTCAAAACTGTGTTTTTCAAACTTGTCTCCATTGTATCTCAGAAACGGCTGGACCGAATTACTTGAAATTTACAGGGCACACTCAATATATTTAAACGCATGGAATGAACTATTATCAATCAAAAATTTCAAAACTTCGATTTTTTATAGCAAAAAAACAAAAAAAAAACGCCTAATTTGCAACTTTTACTTCAAATGTCTATAAAACATCCAATTTTTTTTATATTCATTTGATTGTAATTCATTATGTGCTTTTAAGCCTACAAATTAAAACGCCTTTTATTTTTTTTGGTCAGATAAGCCGATCAGCCGGAATCGTGGAGACAGTGGGAGCTCTTTTTTTTGAGGGGGAGGGGGTGTTTAGAGCGCTGTAACTCTAGTTGGACTAAATTTTTTTAGCTGAAATTTTATATTTATACTGTCCAAATATGTATTAATAAATGATAAAAAACTTGAAGCTCTAACTATTTACTGGTCGTAGAAAAAATTTTCTAAAATATCCCTAAAAAACAGGCTGTCACATAGGAAGACCCCCTTAACTCATAATTTTCAAACTACATGTAGTTTTATTTTCTATTTTTTTTATGATAGTTACGATCAAAACTATTACTCTATTTCGGCTTGTAACGTTAAAAAATCAGTACTTCTTTGAAAACGTTAATCTAAAGTAATTTTTGTTTTTTGCAGGTTTGAATAATAGCACGAATGTTCCTGGTATATCTAGCTTGCAAAATAATTCAAACCCGCCAGGATTGACCCCTACGAATATGCCGAGAGTTGTTAAATTACCAAACCAGCAAGCTCAGCCTGCGCAGAGGAAAGGATTATCTCTTACGGTAATGATGTTTAATTGTTCATCTAAATCGGTTTGAACAATTTTTATGAAATTTTTCAAACTCCCAGAGCAGTAAGGGTTGGACACCGCTAAAAAAAATAATTTTTTGGACCAATATCTTTTATTTTTTTATAATTCGGTATTAAAAACAAATACAGCCCTTGATTTTCATTTTAGTAATCGAGCAGTTATTCATTCCGCGTTCAGTCAATGAATGTTTTTGACTTAATTTTAGTTTAGATTTTTTTGTTTTTATGAAAAAGTTTAAATTGTTAAATTTAAAAAAAATATTAATTCTGTTGTCCAATCAAAACGTTATTTTGTAATTTTGAGACCAATTTTCTTTATTTTATTTTTTTATGTGTAATTTAAAAATACATACGTCTCTAAATTTTCATTTTCTTATCCGAAACCCCTATTTGGTAATCACTGAATTTTAATTCTGATATCCTTTTACCACAAAACCTTATTTTATAATAGTAATTTTTGTAGTGTAATAATTTTTTATCTAGCTTGATAACTGATCAACAACTTACTTTTGTTGTGAACGTTTTTCACGGAATTTTGATCAAGGTTCTTTTGAGCATGTAGAATGGCTTAAATTTATCCACACTATCCTCTGAAACATTTTCAAGACAATTTTTAAGTAATGGCTACAGAAAGATACCCTTTTTACCTTTGATAAAACTAGAATATCTTTTGACGGTCTTTTTAAGTGTTTCTGGTTCTGCATTTCCATTCATATGCCATAAATAATTTGTTGTAAGAATATTTTGGAATTTCTTTGTGATTGTTTTCAATATTCATTCTTCAGGAGTTTGAAACTAAAACTATTCGTTTTTCTTACAGAAGCCACAAATGTTGGAGGCACAAGAAATGTTTAGCAAAGCCAACAAAGTTACGAGACCAGAGAAAGCTTTAATATTAGGTTTTATGGCTGGATCTAGAGGTAAATAATTAATTCTTATATTTGTATAAGATATAAAAGTTTAGAATCGAAAGTGAGAAAATTTGCATATCTTCATATTTCAAATGTGCCACTTGATCCGTGTTCCCGAAATCGTCGATGAAAATTTGTATCCTTATATAGATACACACATACATACATTGTTTCTAATGTATGCCAAAATATAAAAAAAATTATTTTCGATTTTCGTTTGATTACTATAACTTACCCTACGGAAAATAATCGTCATTTTGCGGTCAAATATGGTCATTTGACATATGCATCTCAAATTATCAGATGTTTCAAGAAATTTTAATAAGTACAAATTTTGTTTACATTTATATGGGTTTCGTCATGGAGACTTTTTGCTTTATAGTTTCAAGACATTTTGAATAATTTAACATAGAAAATTTGGCCTTTAAAAACAAATTGATAAAGACTTGCTTCATTAGTTTGGGGCGAAAATTGGCGGACCGTTTCTTTTATAATTAGTAAATAAGTGCAAAAAGTATTTTGAAATTGTATTTGTTATAATTTATTTTATTTGTATTATTTAATTGTTATAAATATGTTTAAAGTTGTAAAAATGGACCATACTTAATGTATAATATTTTGTTCATCAATTATTTGCAATAGTTTCTAAAATCACTTAAATTCATTCATTATTTCTTATTGATTACTTTCACATGCCGGAAGTTCAAGCAACTTGTCTGAAGAATAATGCCACCTGCATCTACTTCATCAGTTTCAATGGGCATTTAATCATTTTTAATTCAAAATTTTGTCAATGATAATTGTTGATTTATCTCATCTTTTCTCTTTCAGATAATCCATGTCCTGATTTAGGCAATATAGTAACAATCAAGCTCTCTGAAATTCTGGAAAATGTACTACAAGAAGACGATACTTACAAAGCCATGCTCGTGGAGACACATTTCCAAATGAATTATGAAAATGGAGAGTGGGAACGAATAAAAAAATATCGAAGAATAGACACCAACGATGCTAAAGTTGTTCACCAAGGGCAAGGAGAGAGTATAGCCCTATAGCCTTTGAGAAATTCTAATAGGACATAACATTTTTGATACATTAATATTTGAGATTTTTTGATCATTGTATTATGATAAGATGCATTTAGCAGAAAGTCTTGAATGCGTTTATGCAAAAAGTATTGCATTTGTTTAGTGCTTGTATGGTCAATACCAAACTCGAGTGGCTTAATCATTTTTCTAATAAAATTTCTCTTCACATAACAATATTGTAAATAATCAAACTTTGTAAATCTATATTTATTATTTATGCAAACAATGTACCGCCACATGTTTATTAGTTATCAATATGAAATTTTTATTTATATATATAACAAAAACAGACATATAAAAAAATACAAAAGTGGTGCTAATATTCAGAATTGATTTACAAAGCCTTATGATAACACCTTTGATTTTTGAGCCGAATGAGAGCTTTTTTTATAATTATAATTATAAATGGTATTGATCGTCCTTGTGACATTAAAATACTAATAGTTAAATTAATATTATTTGTTGCTCACTATAATGAGATAGCTTGAAAAAGCGTATGAATATTTGTTCAAATCATACTTACTACTTCCAAATACATATTTAAAGGACAAAACATTATCACGAGCTATAAATTAATGATATAACAAATATATCACCGAGTTAATTGAGTCCAATTTATGTAACTGCTATAAGTGTGCGCATGAAAAAATGTGTGCGAAATGTGTATATTATTAATATATGTTATAAATGTAAATAATTATATTATGAATAACGTTAATTGATATTTAAGTTGTAAATGAAAATGTTCAATCTAAAAGTCTGGAATAGTTATATAATGTACTCTGAGTTTTGATATGTGGATATATATAGAAATATTTAATTATGCAATTGAATGGAACCAAGTCTAAATAAAGTTATTTTTGTTGTATAAACTTCGCTTTATTTCTTAAAAATTTGGTTTGTTTAATTCACTGTGCTCTTTTGCTAGAATTTTACTGTTGTTTTATCAATAAAACTGTTTAAAAATATTCAATTCAAAAAATATTCTCAATTATTTTTTGCTTTGTAGAACATGTATCTTATACAAGATGTCAATGTTTTTTTGCTTATAATTTAGTGTATAAAGACCGAAAATGAATATTTTTGCTCATTTTTTTTGATAATTTATATATATAGTATAATCTTATTTTTCAAACTGATCCTAATAAAAACGGCTAAGCCAGAACTTCTCATGTTTGTTCAAGGGGATTTCCAGATAATATATAGTTAAAATGAAATAGTTATAAATTCAAATATTCAATTTAAATATTAGGCTTGCAACGAACAGTATATTCCACCTGCCTCCCTGACCAAATATCGAAAATTCGGCAAACTATTCAGCGAAATTTTAGCACCAAAAATCGTTTGTTTTAATGTAATCACTGGTAATCACTATAATTTTAACTTCCCGTAGGGTAAGTTATAGAAATCGCAAAAAAACGAAAATGAAATTTTTTATATATCTTTACGTTTCAGAGGTATCTCAATATTTTGGCATACCTTAGAAAAAATGGATGTATGTGTGTTTGTGTGTGTGTGTATATGTGTGTGCGTGTATGTATGTGTCGACGATTTCGGGAACACGGATGAAGCAATTTGAATAATTCAAAAAACATTCGATTCGTATTGATAAGGAGACGTACTGATTAGTTTTTGGCGGAGGCAGGTCTAGCCGTTCCGAAGATACGGGGCAAAAAGTGCCGAAAACGGTAACTCAGTTTAAGAGAACGGAGCGTCCGATTTAAATAATTCAAACAACATTTTATTTGTATTGACTAAATGAAGAACTTTTTAAAATTTTTGGAAAGGCAGGTCCAACGACTTTGGAGATATGGAGGAAAAAGTAAAAAAATGAGCCATTTGGCGGTCAAAAATGAACATTAGACATATGCACATCAAATTATCAGATATTTCATAGAGATTTTAACTACAAGTATAATTTTTTTTTCATTTCTATGGGTTCCGTACCAATGCTTATGCGTTAGACGGCGGCGCGGCACTTGCGCGCTTTGACATTTCGTCTCTATGCAGTTCAAGCAGTACGATTGCTTTGAAAAAAAAGTTCAGAATTTCCAAAATATGTCAAAATGAAGAAAACACTTTTCTTTTCAAAAAAATTTTGTTTTCAAAAAAAAAATTTTTTTTAAGAAAGTAATTTTTTGTCAAATTTATAGTTTCTCAAAAATCTAATTTTTTCGAAGTAAAATTTTTTCAAAAATGTTAATTGTTTTTAGAAAAATAATAATTTTTGGTACGGGAAGTTACAGCAATTTGCCCTAAGGAACGATGCCTTAATTGCCTTAGGACAGAATTCCACTTACAGCTAGTTATAGTAATATATATATTACTGGAACGGTGATTTTTTAGCGAGGTGTTGTTAGGTTTGCGACGACTACTCGATTACAATTTTGTTCCGGCATATTAGACACTTTTTATGTTATTTAGCCGAAAACCGAATATTTAATTCAAGTTATAGCCAAACTAGTGGTGTATGGCATCGTGCCTTAAGGCAAATTGCTGTAACTACTACGAAATTTATAAGATTTAAAGTATATAAGTGAGCTTTAGAACTTTAGCCAGGATTAAAATTAAAATTTTAAAATTTTCGATTTTCGGCCCATTACTGCAACTTACCCTACGGGTAATAATAATAAATTTGTTATAGCTAAAATTGATAATTTGTATTGTTGATACTGCATAAACTATTTAAAAATTGATGCATTCGAAATAAAATTTGTTCATTCTAACAATAAGCCCGCTTAATTAGATTTTGTATATATATAAAACATTCATAGATAGATAGATCATGATAAGTTTTCACATTTTTTGTGATTTTGTTCTATAATATTTATTCATAGACATTTTTGTTGACTGATTATTTTTATTCTTCGAACAGGGGCGTAGCGTGCCTTGGCGGGGCCCCGTATCAACATTTGTTTGGGGGGCCCCTCAAGACGAAATTTTTTTTACAAAATATAAAAATACATAAAATTGGAAGAATATTTATTTATCATTCTTATTATTTATCTATCTAATTTTCTTTCATTTTCTGATTTTTTTGCAAATGATTCCAGATATACATTCACTTTCTTTGAACTTTTTGAAAAATTAAATTATTTAATGATCTTTAAATTTTAGAAAGATTTCTGTCACTAGGAACATAGGCTAGAGCGGGGCTAGTTGAGCATAGGGGCAAGTTGAGCTATCGAAATATCCCGAAAACTATTCACCGTCCGTTTAGGCATAATAAGGCAGAAAGATAGAGGTTTGGGAGAAATAAACATCCCGCGATCACTAGTGGCCGCTGGACAAATGAGTGAGGCTCACGGGCGTTTTGTTTATTTTGAGACCAAAAAGTAAAAAAGTAATTCATCACGAGTTTTTGTCTGGTTTAGTCAAATATTATTTATTTTTAATCTGGTAAATGTTATTCTTCCATATAATTATAGTACTTTTAATATGCACAGAGATTCTAGGTATAATTCTCACGTTTTTTTTATAAACTCACTTTTATTTTGAAATTCCGAGTTGGGGTTAGTTGAGCTTAGTTGCTAAACTTGTTTTGTCACTAAAACAATTACCATTAACTTCCAGAAATTAATTATTATTTTTAAGATTTATGCTAAGTCTATGAGTAATAATATAAAGAAATAATTATTTTAAACAAAAATACTGAATATAATGGTAAAATAATTCCTAAGATACGATATTGTTTTGTTGATTCTACTTTTCGTTAATTATTCAAAGAAAATTACTATAAGTTTTGTTTTCTTTGTCAATAAAGACTACAAATATAGAACTGGTTATTAAAAATTTATGTTATTTCATCACTAATCGACATTGAACCTATGATTTCATTATACTTTCTTAGTGCTCAACTTGCCCCACCTATGGGGTACATTGAGCATACTTGACTTTTTGCATTTAAACAGCTGTAGCTTTGAAATTTTACTTATTACCAAAAAATAGTACTAACACTTTTGTTAAGCGATAAACAACAAATCCATTAAGCCGTATAGCAATTAAACTACATCCGTTTAAGTAAAAATTTGCTCAACTAGCCCCGCCCTACCCTACAGGTCTGGTAGACATTTCTGTCCTAAAGTTTTTTTGTAATTTTTAATTAGTTTCAATTTTAAAAATTTCTTTTAGTAGTTGCGATTGTAACTGGAAGGGCCAAGAAAAAAATGCATGCTGTTATATTTTTTTGGGAAAACTGGATGCAAGCTTAATAACATATCCATCACATTTTTTAGATTTTTGAATTCAAACCTATTTCTAGAGCCATCAATTGGTCATGATCTTATGAGATATTTTTATAGTATTTATTTACAGTATTCAGTCGACAGATTTTCGGAAACGTTTATTCATTCTCCATTTCAAAAAGACTAATGTTACTATTTACGTCACAAAGTTTTTGAAATCTTTGTTTGGTTTGTAAAATTAATATATCCAAACAGCAATATTATACATTAAAATAAGGTTTCGGGTCCAAAATTCTCTCATCTTGTGATAACTCATCATAATAACTTGTAATAACTCATCATAATGACGCTTCATTATCTTTTATCTTTTGTTCTTTGAAATAGTTATTGAAATCCATCTTTTTTGCAAAATATTTTGTTTTCTTTAGCAAACTAATACACTAAAATTTCATATTTTAATCACAGTCTATTCAAAAGATTACTTAATAACAGGGCCGTGCCTGACAGGCGTTCATTGCGTGCACCGCACGCAGGCGGCCGAAATTAAGAGGCGGCCAAATCGTTACAAGTTGTTTACTGGGCAAAAATACAATCGGTTTGTTTTCGAAGTAAAAACAGTTTCTCTAATCTAATCTATCTAAAAAGAGTTTCTCAGAAATAAGAATGTATAAAAACTGATTAGGTTGTTGTAGTATTTATATACCTAGTCATCAGGGCCGTGCCTGGCCAGCGTGCAGTGCGGGTCGAGAGGCGGCCAAATCAAAAAAAGAACAAATTTAAAGG